GCTTCCAAAGGAATAAAATTGGAACTTGGGAGGAACTTGGGAGTTTTGAGGAATAATGAATAAGCCAGAAACCCAACTCAGGTGTGCCTCTGATGCCTCCCACAGCTGGAGCTCAAAGGGCTGTTGACATGTAATCCCAGACCCCTGTTCTGAGTTAGCAGTGTCTATCTCTGCTCACTTGGGGATAGAGATTTTTCCATTGGGGTCCATTCTAGGACCTTTTCTGTTGATCTGAAGGATCCACTATTCTCATTGCTATTCTCATTGCTCTGGCCAGGATAACAGCTGAAGGATAACAGTTGAACAGAGAGTGGCAGGAAGCTGTCAAGACAGGCAGTGTAGAGTGGACACAGCATGCAAAGAGTCATTGAAACGAAGTAGTCTTAAAGTGACAGTGTGTCCCGAGACTTTTGCATTCCTCTCTCCAGAGCCGTGACTTCATATTCCAATTTCCTAGACCACATGGTAGGCCATACCTTCTGTCTCCTTACTGTCCTCCGGCCAGTGAGTCTACAGAAGCTGTCACCAGCTCTGGCCTAGGGGCACTGAAGGCATTCCACTCCTGGAGACATTTGTACCAGAATCATATCCACCCTGACAGTGATGCCCTGTACCATTTGTACAGCTCTCAATCTGAATTAATTCTTCCTTACAACCCTGGCCAAATATTTCTCATATCCAGAACTTGAACTTTTGATTTCTTTTTTAAGACAGGATTTTCCTGTAACCCCAGCTGGCCTGGAATGCACTATGTAGACCAGGCTGGCCTCACAGAGATTCTCCTGCCTCTGCTTCCCCTCCTGAGCACTGAGATTAAAAGCATGCATCACCATGCCCAGCTTGATTTCTGATGTAGATCTCTTGGGCCTGACCACTGCCTCACCTTCATGCCATTGTGTTTTCCCATTCTTTCGGATGCAAGCAGTAGGTACAGCCCTGAATTCAGACCCCACTCTTCCATGACTGTCCTAGACCAAATAAACCTGGCCTACTTGAATTCAATGCTGTTATTGCTACGTTTTCTTTATCCATAGGACAGAGGCCACCCAGTGTTCATTCAGATCACAGCACCTGCATGACTCATTAAGCACTATAGACCTATCTAACCTGTTGGAAAGCTACTTTCACTGAGTCAGTGTTGTTACAGCAGTGTTGTACATGCTGGGCTTGCTAGACTCATCATGTCCTCTACAGATAGAATGTGTAAATTGCAGTAGAGTCATAAAATCTTCCTTAAAGGAAGCCATAAGGACATAAATTCCTCAAGGTGGCCACCTGGTCCAAATTGGCAGCTTGGCCTTTGCTCAAGCTTTGTCAACTGGTTACTTCCTGAACCGACAGAGACTGTTTAAAAGACTGATTTAATCTCCTTTTGGTTCCATAAGATAACTTGCCTGCTCATCCTGAGAAAATAATCTCAGGAAGAAGACCCTCCATTATCCCAAGTTCCTGCAACTGTGCTCAGCAGAGTCCCTGTGTTAAGTCCCGATTGCACTGCCTTTCTCTGCTGATGTCTGGCAGAGCCCTTTGCTGTGTCCTCCCAAATAAAGGAGCATATTCTTTGCCTGTTGCAGGTCTGGCTCTGGTTCTTATTTCTTAACTTTAAACTCCTTCCTTTTTCTGCTCTCCTAAATCTAACATCTACCACCATCATTCTCCCATGACACCTGGACTATTCAAGTTTAGGTTCACATTCATGAATCTCTTGTCTTCTAGCTTGGTAATGGAAAGCCCCAAATGTCCTTTTTAAAAAATTTACTTTGCACTGGAACACTTTTTTTGTGGGAATCACTGGTTTGAAAAGTGAAAGAAAGGTAGAGAAGTTATAAGTCAGAGTTTCCAAGAGTACAGGGAGAGATAATTAAATGAACATGTTTTAAGTTTAGATGCTAGCCTATCTAGCAACAATAGGATGAGGTAGATTTTATGGCCACTTTCTAGACTTCTAAACCGAGGATAGACAAAGTTAGAGATGTTTTCAGGATCTGCAGACCCAGAAGAGGCAGAGCAGGAATTTGGATACAGACCTGGCTGGTCTTGCATCCCTCCCTTATTATACCAGCTAGCTAAAAATTTTATACTTTGGATGTGCTTGCTATGTGGCTTGCCATGTGGCTTCATGGCAGATGAGCCTGCCTTCTATGAACCTATGACCCAACCTGGGAACTATCTCATAGATTCCTGAAGAAGTAAGCAGCCATGGCAGGCTCTACAAACAGGAATCCAGAGAATATAGGGGTTAAAAGTAGTGGCAGGCCACTCTAACAGGTACAGAATTTAAGGCAGCAGTCTTTAAAGAGATAAAGAGGTGCTGGATGACAGATGTTCCCGCTGTAGAAGAGAGTACGCCTGGCATGCTCACAGGATGATATGTCATCAGCCTCAAAGTTGAGGATGAAATATTTTGAAAAATCAGAGGAGGACTGAGTTTGATTGGAGATTCCCCAAAGCCTTTGAATGCTAGTCCAGGCCGTGGTCCTGATGGGAAAATTTCTAAAAGCAGTTAACAGAGAGGAGTTGAATACGGAAAGGAAAGAGAACAGGCTAGTTCAATTACTTAGGATGAATTATTCTCTAGAGATAGGGATAAAGTTAAGAAGACATTGCTGGGGAAGCTGGAAAAATGGTCAGGCATTTCCTCCACCATGTTCTTCCTAATCCTTCACTAAAAGCATTGTCACTGCTGAATCTGGCCACTGTATTCAGTGACACGTCGTTTCTCTAGATGAGCTTTCCGGTATCCACTTTGTGTTCACTTCCAAATGAGAAAACTAGTAAGTAAGCCTCCTCTGTTTGCCTGCAGCTTTACAGCAGGCCGAACAGGCTGCTTTCTGGTGTGTCACTGTACCGAGGGGAAGCACAGACACAAGGTAAGTCTGCAGTGACTTCCCTGCTGGATGGACTGAACCAGGTGTTCGAGGAGGTGTCAACCCAGGTATGTCTGTGCCGTCATGGACTTGTCTTGGTTCGTCTTGGTCTTATTGCTAGGACTGGTTCATTTGTTCTCTGCAAAGTCATTCCACCTCTGCACACAAATGTTGAGGCTTAACACTAGTGATAAGTCATAGGACCAAAAGGTGCTGGCCATGAATCTCACCTTGGTATTTCTCTGTGATTTCTTGAAATACTGTAATAGATTCTTTTTATTGGGAGAGGTAGGGAGACTGGGAAGGTTGAGGTATGGTCTTTTGTAGCCCAAGCTGATCTGATCTCAAACTGCCTATGACACAGAGGATGACCCTGAACTCCTAATCTTCCTGCCTTTACTTCTTGAGTGCTAAGATTCCAGGTGTTCCATTAGAGCTAGCTTGGACTTTATTCCTTTACCAGTTTGTGTGTGTGTGTGTCTGTGTGTGTGTGTGTGTGTGTGTGTGTGTGTGTTCCTTGTCCAGGGTGGAGGAGCAAAGGGGCAGGATGTTCACTTGGAGCAGAAGTTGTATGATCCTGTCTCTGCCACTTCCACTTGGATGGATGATGTTGAAGAGCGTTTATTTGTAGCCACAGCACTTTGGCCAGAAGAAACGGAAACTTGTCTCTTCAACCAGGAGGTAAAGTTGACAATTGCTGTTTGTGCATGAAATTTCAAAGCAACTGCAAATTTAATATTGGATAATCAACTTTATAAAGAATATCAAGAGCAAACAAAGTGTGGTGGTGCGTGCCTTTAACCCCAGCACTTGGGAGGCAGAGGCAGGCAGATCTCTGTGAGTCTACATAGCAAGTTCCAGGTCAGCTGGGGCTACAGGGAGACACTGTCTCCAAAAGACAAAATAATAA